TTTCATTATGGTGCTGATCCCTCATTTCAAATACCCTTTTTCCTCATAACGTTTCTTGCTTGGACGTGAGATTTGATGATGTGTTTTTCAGGAGCTTAGAATTACAAATTTGTGTCAAATGACAAGTGGTGAGAGTCACCAAGAATTTTCATCGTCTGTCACATGTTTTCTTGCTTTTAAGTAAACCATAGAAAATAGTTAGAAACAGATGGTCTTTCTTTGGCCCTATTTAGAAAGCGAATTGCAGTGCATCACTGTTTGGTGACAGAGTTTGTAAAGACATAACGTTTGTTAAGGGAGGGATGGAAAAGAAGTTGGTTTTGATTCAAACTTGTGGTCTACCTAAAAAAAAAATGCAATTAACCTTTTTTTTATTTAATTTCCATTACTTTCTACTCCTAACCATGCAAAAAGTTGAATTCACACACTGTACAATTATCATGATGAGGAATGCTATCCATAAATGTCAGTTTGGAAAGGAGAGCACCTCAGCAGGATGCTGGTGGTCTACGTCAAGGCTCTGAGCCAAATTTGAAAGACAACACTGATGAGAAAGCAGCCCTGGCAGAGCCGGCGTATCAGCAGCGCAGACCACCCGACTGCTGGAAAAGCCGCTCTCATACGAACAGGTATTTTTAGCAGCTTAGGAAGAAATACCGACTGGATCTTTATGCAGCTTATTCGATTGCTCAATGTTATTCTCCGGCTCGATCGCTCTCTCGTTTCACACACCCAAAAAGTACAATGTTACACAGAAAATCTAAACTTTGATCCCCTCTCAACTCAGGAAGTCACTTACCTCAACTTTGCCAATTTTTTAGCTGATTTGCAACTAAAATTGACATTGCAATTGCAGAACAGAATAGAAAGAACAAGAAAGAAAATCATATTGCAGTAATGTGTTTAAGAAAAAGCAGATGTGAGTTATTAAGGTCACTATGGAAGAAGGGCCTTCCCTTATCCAGTTGAGACAACTGTGTTGTGTAGTGACCTCCAAAAGTATAAGCTAAGCTATACCATGCCTACCCATCGGTTAACTTATCAAAAACAGACTATGACATTAGTAGATAGAAACCAGGCTAATGAAATATTTTGTTAAACCATCTCTTGCGTAACATGGATGGACAATACAAGATTGTTGTCTCACTATATGTTGTCTAAGGAATAGGATCAAAATAGTATTAGTAGTATTAGATATTTTATAAACCTATTAGGTTGACTCACTTTGCGCTGATCAAAGACAGCCAGATCAGCTTAAAGTTCCAAGAGGGAAACAAATCATTATGAAGAAATTACTCCATGGTCAATTAAAGGTATTGTGCCACATATCTAAACATATGTTTTTGGTCATATTCATAGGAGAATAAATATCAGTTTTGCACAAGCATATACATGGACTTGGACATTTTTTTATCACAAACTTTCCCTTTCTCCTTTTCCAACATAAACAAGTTCAGTCCTTGACTCACTTTTTCCTGCTTTTTTCTCTTTCTTCAGCTCCACCTTTTTGGACTTTCCCTCTCCCTCCACTTGAATTTGAATACAGACCTGGTTCATGTTAACTCTCCATTGTTCATTTGGATTTCCCCCCTACCAACACAATCCCCTGCAACTACTTTTATTGGAAATGTTAACAGTTCAGTTCCCCTTATGGATCTATGAGCAACACAGCTACATGCCAAAGTCATTTTTTAAATTAAATTATTATGCCATATTATCTTTTCCTCTGTATATTAAAAGGGCAGATTTATTGTTTATGAAACAACTAATTGTGGGGATACTCAGGCAGTTTATTTAACCTTTTTTTTACAGATATTTCTTATGAGCACTCACACCTAGCCCCCCTAAACAAAAGAGAGAAGCACAGTATCCTTCAATAAACCACTGTTTCATCTGTTGGCAGGCAGCTGAGAGCTACTCCGCAAGAAAAATAAATTGCGGTGAAACTCTCTTGTGAATTAAGTTAATTTCCTTTCCTTTAATTGTTTTCCCAATAACGTTAATTTCAGGAACACTCTGAAGTCACAGTGTCACAGCCTGATATTGTTGAATCCAGCTTCATTTTGACATCTTTTACGTCAAGCTATAAATTCATATTCTAAATAATTAAGTAATATTAAGTACATTAATTAATTTGAATTGTTTACTAAATATTTCTATTACTTTATTTCTCATAACAAGGTCCTTCTGGTACCCTCAGATATTTTCAGAGGTAATAGATACTTATTGAACCAGGCACAGGGATTTTGTAAGATTACATTACAAAAGATTGAAAAAGGTGGACTTGAATAAAACAAAAACATCAATACTTTAATTATTTATCAATGTTTTTATTCAGAGCTAAAAATATTCCCTCATATGAATGAGGGGTAGAGGTGGAGCCAGTTAGATCTTGGCTCAGAGATGAATGTGTGAATCCACTGGCTTATTGTCAGTGTCATGGGGATTTACTAGTGTTTGCATATGTGTATTACAGTACTGCTGTTGTGAGGACATAAATCCAATTCCACAGTCACATTGTGGGGACAGGCCTATTTTGTCCTCATATTATGAATGCATTATATTTAAGGGTATTTTAGGTAACTATATGTTTTGACATTCAGATAATGTTTAAGTTCAGATTAAGGTTATAGTTAGGCGAGTAGCTTTTGTGGGAGGAGGATGTTAGTGACACTGTCCTCTCCTCCCCTGTGACTTCCATGGATCTCTGTCCTCCTGGCTTCATCCCAGACAGATCGTGGGAAGATACCCCTGCCTGAAAACAAAAATAAACAGATAAATAAAACAGTACTAAGTAAATAAACCAGTCCAAATACAACTGTCAGCATACCGTCTCAAATTTAGACCCAGATAAAGCACAGTGAGGTATCAGGAAAGGAAAAGCCTTTTCATAAACTTAATGTATGGGTTGTTATACAGTACTCCTCAAAGATTGTGACTTCACAAAGTCGGGTAAGGAGAGTTAGGTTTAAGTGTAATGGTTTTATACAAGTATGACAAATTTTACTGAGTTGAGTTGCTGTCTCAAGTTAACAGCTCCAACAATTACAGGGTAGATTTCAGCACTTGTGTGTCAAAGGTAATTTAATTCTTATTCTTTCATAAGCTGAGAAATGCCGTATTTAAAAAGAAAAAACAACTATAAAACAAAAAAGGTTGCTTTAAAAAAACATCAACCTAAAGTGGCCCTCTACTCCCCTAAGGTGATCAGACTGAAGTTGAGGAATTCCATCCAAGAAGTAGCAACGTCTCTTTGGATCCTGGAAACACTGTCTTCAGCTTTCCTTTTTTATATTAAAGTAATATCATTACACCAATTTTACAGTACTTATACATTGTCTTCATTGTTTGTTTGTTTGTTTTTTCATCTTATGTCCAGTATAGTGAACATGGGGTCTTGTCTGATCACTCTTATCTCCTTTGGTTTAATTCTTAGTATGTGATGATGCTCAGAATGATGACTGCCTCATCCAGCTCACTGCTTCCTGATCTATGGAAACGGGTTAAAACAGGAAGTGTGGAACAATACAGAAATTAATTATTGTTTAATAGAATAATGGAAATTAAAAAAAGAAGCTCAATTAAAACTCATTCTGTCTATTCATTCATCTATTGTACGTGCTGCTTAATCCTAGTAGGTGGCGGTTCTTCCATCCACAAACAAGCTTAAGTTATATTGAACCTATTCATATATTATTTTTATTGCAGTTGCAGAAGACCATGAGAACGGGGAATGAATAATGCCATGGAGTTCTGTGTTAGTTTAAGATTCATTGTGCAGTCGGGAATGAGCCAGAGGCGGTGCAAACCCATGGCTGTGGTGATCATCAGCCTCCTCTCACAGGCACTTCAATCGCACTGAGAGATTTGTCGTTGCCACCCACGCTGCTTGATTGACAAGTGGTTGACTAAAGGGAAGTGTGGTGTAAATAAAAAGGCAGTTTGGCACAAAAGAAAACACAGAAAAATCTAAAAAAGCAAATGCGGATTACCATTTGAACAAGACATTTAAATATGAAAGGAAACAATGTCTAGTAGCCTCAAATTTAGTCTCTTGTTTTTTCTTTTCTTTTTTTTTTCTCATTTCCTGGCTCCTAAGCATTCATCCTCTGTTTATAATCACACAGATATATGTGACTAAGAGGAGCTGCAGAGCACCCACCGACAAAACACTAACTGGAGACAAATGGCACTTTTCGTGTGCATGTGTGAGAGCGTGCGGGGAGAGTTTCTGTGTGAACAGGCAGTGGGGAAAGTGTGGGCGTCAAAGTTTGAGCGGAGAGAGCCAACTTTCCAGGGGAGTGCACCAAGGTTTGGAGGGAGAACAGAAAACAAGGGCAAGAGTGAAGGAATAAAGAAAGAGGTCGCAGGGTTGGATTAGGGATGTGGATTTTGAAGGTATGAGGGGGAAAAAAGGCTCAATTGGATCCATAGATCCAAATGTAAATATTGAGGCCGCATATGAATGTGAGCGTGGGCTTCAGGGTTGACGCTGATTAGAATGATAGAAAGAAAGAAAAAAAGCACAAAAAGAAAGGTGGGCACGTTTATTTGAGAAAAAGGCTGTGTCCTCTCTTTTGTTGACCACTCACATCTTTCCCTCACGCACATGGACAAAGATAACGCAATGAACTGTGAAGAGAAACTGTGATAATGAATTTTTTATTTATTTTTTGTCCCCATCTCCTTCCATTAAATACACACATTTCAAGACACACACCTCCTCTCAGTGGAGCGCACACAGCCACATTCTGTGCACACGTAGGCCGCAAGAATCTAGATTTCAAGCCACCCACCTGCGCACACAACCATAACAAAACACACGCTCGCACTCATTTTGCGCAAACAGGCCGGGTACAACGCTCACAAAATACCTCATCCTCTGCAGCAAGCACCTAAATACACACAACGTTTGCCAAGCCCAACAAGCACAACCAGCCACACGTAAACAAACACCTCCACATGCACTGAGCGCTGCTCGTGCTCATGTGTGCGGGCCGTCAGGGGCCCGGGGCCCGGGATGAGGGGGTTTCCAGCCTGATGCTGCACAGCTGCAAGACGGCACCCAGCGCGCCACCAGCTTGACGCACAGTGATGACCTCATCAGATGGGAGTGACTGAGAAAACAAATCGCACACTTTCAGAAGCAGAACTTTGACTTGATACTTGACAGATAAACAGAACGTGTCGAGTTCTGTGAAGAGAGAAAAAGGGAGGGGTGTTCAGTTCAGTTGTCCATACCTAAAATCACAAAATAGTTTAATTCAAAGAAAAGAGGGCTCAAATTGTCGTATTTAGTACTATATATCAGTCTGCTCAGCTTGTGTTTTTGGGATTGTCAATGACTGCCGAGTAGCTTTTCTTTTTTATTTGGTCATAAGTTAGTTATTAGTTTTAGATGTTTTGTAGGGAAGAAAGAAAGGGGTCAAAATCCTAACTTTCTATGACTGATCCACCGAGTGAACAACATGAAGCGAGCCTCTATTGGATTAAGTGGGTACAGAAAATGGATGGATTGACTTAGATTGGCAGTGGTTACATGTTTGGTGTTCATGACAAGGAGCAGCATCTGGGCCTAATCATCAAGTAAAGTCCCCAAAGGCAGACTTAGATACCATTACAGCTCAGTTTCATCAGGAAAAATGTAAGACTTAAATTGTTTGTACTGCACAGAGCAAGGCTGAAAATGGATAGACAACACATATCATGAAATTAAATGACGTGAATGAAAGCCGTAATTACGTTGACATTTGTAACTGTCTAAAGATGTAGTAATAAATATGGACATGTACGTTCTCTATGTGCTAAGGAATCAAAACTCTATGTTATCATCTTGTCTAATGACAAGATCGGAAAAGGCTCCAAGAACTTCCAGTATTTGGACATTCTGCTTTGAAATGGTTCTGCACCACGCATGTTTGATGAGAACATGGTGAACAAAAAACCTAAAGTCAAGCAATGTTACACCTCCTTCCCTTGATTTACATCCATACACACTGTGGCCGAGAAGAGAGAATACACACAGAGGAATCAAAGCAGATGTTTAAAAGCTTTTGTCCTAGAAGTAAGCCCAATCCTGTTTTTGGACACTGATCTCTGCTTACCAACCTCACAAGTTTCCCAGGTCAATAAAGACAAAATCCTGTGTATTGTGAAATGGCTCATATTTATGAGCAGAATGGGGAAAATGGGAGGCATCTCCCCTGTTAGCATTAATTCCTGCCCACTGAGTTTTCTCTCAGTGGATGTGTGGTGGGGGAAGCTCTAGTGCCACATAAATGTATAACTGTGCAATTTGAAATTGTTCTCCTCCAATGATTGAGCATGATGAATGAAAGGAGAAAGGGCGATACTAAAAATTTTGGAAGGTTTGTGGATGCAGATGCTGAAGACTTGTGGTGGGATAGAGGATGAAGCGGTCAAACCTCTTGAGCAGGATTAAGAGAAAAAGAATGATGGAGTTGAAAAGGATTGTTTATTAGCTTTGCTGATGAAGAAAAAAATCCTCGAATTGCCAGTAAAATTCCGGAGTAATTAAAACTAAAAACCCACCACCTCTCATTTTGCATTTTGGCCAGCTATTCCCTTTTCATTTCTCATCTCGCACAAGCCAGTGCTTTTTGGACTGGCTCAGCATGTTTTTATGAAGTCCTTCACTCACTGCTCTGCTGTTTAGTTTTCAGGCACTGAGCTCAGAGAGCTGCCAGAAACAATTTAAGTATTCACATATGTCCAGAGCTGGCTCAACATGTCCACCTCTCACTGAGAGTTACCAAACAATTTCACATTGTGTGCAATTCAGATCTCATCACCATCTGTTCCTGCTCATTTGCCCGGACATATCTAGAAAATACACGACAGTGGTCACGCAAAATGGGGACAAACGAAAAGAGAAGGGAGCTTCTTATCAGAAGGTTGTCTAGTAAATCTGCTATTCAGCGGAACACATTTTTCTGCTCTGATGAATGTTATTGCAATAAACATAGTGAAAAATAATATTAAATACTATGCACTCTCTAGCTTGTTTACAGAAAAAGTGAGAACAACGGTTTTAATGACTCAATCAACCTTCAGCTCCACAGAACTGGCCTGTCAAAACAAAAACAAAATTAGAAAGTTATATATGTGTAAAATTAGCACTACCAATTTACAACTATTGAGGGAAATACCAAAGTTAAAAAATATATTAAAATGGAAATCTTTATTAAAAAGTTGACTGAATAGAAAAAAAGATAACGATTAAGAATTGGGACTGAGCTAAGAAGAATTGGAAATACACATGAACAATCAACCAATAAACTAACCATGTTGTATTTGTTAAACAAACACAACATGAAGCAAAACAAAGAAAAGCCTGGAGAAATAGGGATATTTTCACCAGCTGGAGTGACTCGAACTGGACCACTGCAACACCTTGTTTTTTTACATTTTACGTTTTCAGCTTTCGGCTGAAGATATGCTGTGTGACAGCCTGCGTGGAGGGTCACTCTGTTGGCGCAATTTGTCTCGAACACCTTGGTTTTCATGAGTTTTCGTGGTCAACTCTATGCCTGTAAGGTGTCCAGGTCAAACGTGAGCACAGAGAGTCCAAATCAAAGAACTCCCCCACCGTGTTTGACCGGGTTGAAGTGTTGGCGCTGATGTGCCTTTCTATTTTCCTCCAATGCTGTGCTGTGTTTTTTATTTCTCATTGAGTTCACACACATTTGGTTTATCCATCCATCCATTATCGTTACCGCTTATTCCCTAATGGGGTCGCAGGGGGAACTGGAGCCTATCCCAGTGGTCAATGGGCGAGGGGCTGGGTACACCCTGGATGGTCCATCGCAGGGCCAACATTTGGTTTAGTATTTGATCATTTTTCTCCATTTTATGAGAGGTCAAGCAGTTAGGGGCTGTCTTTTTGAACATGTAATTTTTGGCGATACAAATTCAACACCCATCCATTTTAAAAGTTACTTTAACAGCTAACCATTCTCTTTTTGCACATGCAATTCTCATAGCAAAAATGTAAAGAGTAAAAGCAATGTTCTCCAGGATAAAGGAAGTCATTACCTCTGAGAGGAAACAGACTCAGGAGGCTGGCAACTGGGAGCACCAGAGAGGTCAATAACACAAACTGTTGCAGAGTGGCTGTTCGAATCGGTGATGTATGATGCTTTGAGAGTCTCCAGTGGTGAAATATCCCAGTTAGCCTCTATTAAAGGTGGTTCAGTGGCCAAGACTGTGGACTGCGGTTGCACTGGGGAACTTCCAAAAGGGAAACTATGCAAGGGTATGAGGCAGTATGGTTAAAAAAAGGAATAGGAAAAACTCAAAAATACAAGCGATAAACATGGGATCATGCACCACAAACTTCTTTCCTCCAGAGAGGTCATGTGTTTCAGCACAGATCAAACTGCCAGCATGATGCCAAAGGTTTCGCTCGCCATGGCAGTTAGTAGCCATTTGGACAGGCCACAGTGATGATGACTAGCGTGATTATTTTGGAAGCTTGTGCTTGCAGTGCGCTGTTGGCTTTGGCATAGAGTTTTACAGCAAATTGGGACTAATGTTCAGTCTGGAAAAACCAACAGCCACATGAACAACTGAGAGGAGACTGAGCTGAGTCAGAGAAATGCCACAGATTTGTCAGTGGAGATTTATAAGAGCACGAGGAAAAGGTGGAGGCACGATAAATGATTTCAGTGGCTAGTTTGTGAAAAGAGTGAGAAAATAGGAGAAGAAAAAAATAAATGTACTGGCTGAAATTGGATTTGTTTATGATATGTACAAAATGTTTGTTCAGTTTCTTCTGTGTGGTCCAAATGTCAGAATTACCTTTTACATTTTTTGACTTATGATACGTTGAGAATAATTTTGCAGTTTAGGAGTTTTGAAAGTTTACTAAAACTAAAATGATCTGACCTTATCTGAAATAAACTTACTTTTTACTCATTCTTTTTCTTTTAAGTCGTTTACAAAATTAGTTTAATTCCTCAAAACACTAAATTAAAAATGTTAACTTCTCCCCAATGAAGCTATGAACAGAAGGTACTAGCTCACTTCCAAGGGTACAGTTTCTTTGACTTATTGAAAGCCTTACAGCTGATCCAGCTGTAATACTGATGGGAGAAATCCTGAGATATTTATTTTTTTAGAACAGTTTTATTTTTTTTTCCTTCATTTTAAATTGTAAACTGCACTATACTGTATTATTGTTAATTGTGCAAGAAATACACTTTTCTTTTACAGCAAAAGGCACAGCCAGACCAGTGTGTTGTGTTGTTATCAAACATAAGTCTGCATACCTGTACTTCATAATGTGTGTCACATGTTTGCCTCCAACTGGGTTTAACAAGATGTTTGACCGTTAATTTTAATGTATGAATAGGCAGATTGTTTAGGTCTATTCTGATTACATGTTTAATGTTTGGAGTTCTCAATGATTTTACTACTTTGACCTTTTTGTTTCATCTACTCTAATAAAATTATCTTTTAATTGAGGGCATGCAGCAGTTAGGCGGTCAGCTCATTAAACAAAGAAATCCATAAACTTAGATACCATAATATACGAGGGTCTTTAGCAGCTTTTGTTCCCACTTTTCAAATCAATGTTTACAAAAAAGTGTGTAATGTAATCTTGTGTATGTTAAGTAAAATGGCTCATTTTGTCACTTACTATGTATGACACACATAAGATATTGTCTAAAAACCCAGATGGCATGACAAATGTTTTGTCTAGCAGCTTGGAAACCCTGGAGCTGAGAGGGATAATCAGGCTAATTAAGTTTAAATCTATTGGAGTGCAAAAGAGAGCTTTTTTTTTCATAAATTCAATTGAAGTTTTTGTTAAACCACTACCATTATTGCCACACTTTAATTATTTTTCTTCTTTATACTCATGGACACCAATTAGACCAATTTCTTGTTATTAGCTATGGTTAT